TCAAGCAATATTGTTCAAAAAATTCTTCGCGATTAAACTTCGCCATGCAACACATTTTTTGGATTTTTGTTTTCATACATGTCGAAGATGATCAAGCAATATTGTTCAAAAAATTCTTCGCGATTAAACCTCGCCATGCAACACATTTCTTTGGATTTTTGTTTTCATACATGTCCAAGATGATCAAGCAATATTGTGCAGCAACCAAGAATCTAAGGCTTAACATAACATGTTGAATCAGTTCTTGCGTTTCATTCTCTCCGTTGTTCTAAAGATCATCATTTGATATTTTCATGAATTCAACGATTGGAGTAAAAGACTTGTTGTGGTAATAATCAAGATAACCACTTCTGTGCTTTGAATGTTGTGCGTCTTTGATCAGGTCGATATTTTAGTAAAAAATACCATGCATGATATGTGGGACAAAACTTTTTTGAAGGTTTACATGCATTATTTGTGCATCTTTGAGCTCACCACAATCTTATCAACTAAATGTGCTCCAAATGTTTGAAGGATGCAACGACATGAATCGAATTTGGCAGTATTCTATGCTGAATATTGGAATATCGTTGTTGATTGATGATTCACGTAACTGACAAGCGATCTATTCAAGCACTGTCTACGCAATTGTGGATTATCATAGATCTATCTTCATTTTCTAAGTGGATTGTTGTCACAATCTCATTGATCCATGTGCACAATTTTCTCGATACAATCTATAGAAATTTGAAATTTGAACTTTATGTGACAATACAGACCTCCAGATAAAAATTGTAAACATCCAAGGATCTGCACGGTGTGTAAACGAATTCATCGTTTACACAACGTGTAGTTCAGATGCTGCAATTCAGTAGATAACATTATCAAAAGAAATATTTGTTAGTAGTAGCATATAAGTTTGTTAAATGATCAACTCTCGTTGTTTATGTATGGGATGGACATCAAGAATATATTCCCCATCATTAGCGATAATGCAAATGAACTCAAAAGAAATGACTCTTTCAATTAAAGATATACTTTGATGGACATCAGATAAGTTATATTTTTATTTGCTTTTTGTTTGCTTGAATAAGTGGCCATGAGACTCACTTGTAAAACCATCAATTTGTTTGTCAAGACCACTTGCGGATCTTGCTTGCTACTCTGCCTATACGTGAAACCTTTCAACTTTACATGACAGGTAATGCATGTTTGCATATTCCAAAACATTTCCAAGATGCGCTGTCTATATAGTGTCTTTAGTGTCTTTATGAGGACCTTCATTGACGAAGGAGAGATTGATTCAAAAAGAACTAAACTAACAAGGTCTAGAAAAATATGGATGGTCTGGATGATCAAAAGAGAAACCTAGTGTGAAATCTACTAAACTGAAGAAAAAAAGAGAGATCTTCACTCACATAATATGTTTTGGATGATGCTCCATAACAGATGACTTCAAATAAAAGCTCTTGAAGTACAAAATTGCTGTGGACTTCAAAGACATTATGAAACAAAAGACACAATTAGCAGGGTGAGGTGAGTGACAACTGAGGTTAAGAAATAAAAGCAACTTAACAAAAGAGCTGTTTTGAGTACCTGAGTTCTGTTAGGAAATGAAAATGCTTTACACACTTCTTGAAATTTCTGCTCATAGTATTTCCGTATCATCAGTTCTTCCTTCACGGTCAGGTGTTCAGGAGTCGGACCTCTCTTTCCATTTGCTGCATAAACAGTCTCTGTCAACCTTTATGGTCACGGTATCTCTTAAGCCATTGGCGTGATACTGTTATCTCAAACAAAGAGTTGCAAATATTGACTGTACAGGTGATTGCGAGTCTTGATATGTACACCGTTCTTGCAAAAAATTTCTTCATATCTGAATAGATGCTGCATGAAGCTTCACACTTCAAGTGTAATAGTTACAGTTCCACTATATACAGTGAACACTTGAAATCTAGAAAACTATCAAACTACCACTACTTCAGATTACCAGCCTCCACTTCAAGGTTCTCCGGATAAGCAAAAGATCCGTCCGGCGGAAGGTTTACTCGGGTGGCACCATACTACACAATAAACATCAACAGCTGAATATTGACAATCATGTAAATGACTGCAAAATCTTTATGAGAACTAAGTTACATTCTGAATCTCCGAATTACACCAATCGCACACGATAGAAGCCAGAATAATTACACAATCATACTAGGATTGCGTGCAGCTTGTTAACAAATGTTCTTCTTTCAGGTAAAGAAAACGGCTTGAATTAATTACCTACGTTGATAAGAGCTTCTTGTGGCCTTTGATTGCTATTAGATAACTTGTCAATCTGGAGAATATTGAAACTAATGTGTAAATTTGTCTTGGAATATGAATATACTAATCCTCCTAATACATGTCGATGGCTTGCCCTAGCAGATGAAAGATGTTCCTTCTAAAATTCATTCAGGCGGCCGGTCAAACAATCGACTCACTCACCAGAGTTGAACGCTGCAAAATCCAACCGCGGGTGGCACAACCCCCGCGGTAACATCCATGCGCGGTAAACTCTACCTATCGATAACCTGACCAAGGTTCTCAGAGATCATGATCTGAGAACCTTGGTCATGTTATCGATAGGTAGAGTTTCCCATGCATATTCAGGTTGATGGTGATCTCTTTCGGGTTCCTTATTGACGATAAAAAAGTTTAGAGGATCATGAATTTGACTTCCTCTCTGTATCTGCAACCTGCAACATCTCAGAAGGAAACAGTACTTAGTCAATTTTGAGTCAACGTAGACAAAAATTCTCACGCGAATTGAAACAGATAAGCACGAATGAAAAAAGTTGTGTGTTGCAGTATCTGCATATATATGTGTGAAGCAGCTGTCAATATTGAGATCGCTCACTGCAGTATTGTGGACAACAGAAGAGTGATAACAGTGACGAAACAGTCGATGGTCACTGAGGTTTCGAACTATGATGTCATCGATCTAAACAACGACTAGTATCGGTTGACTGTCACTTGAGCATCGGTCATTTCAGCATGTCGTTTTGGATTTGGTGTTCGTTTAACTGTCAATTCCACAATTTTAGATATAAACATACTATTCACAACTTCAAGAAGGATTGATCTCTCTTCCCCTCCACCTGGGGCGTCAATATTTTCAAATAAAATAAATCATTTTATCAATGGATTTGCAGAACGCATACAGTTTCAAGGACTTGTTCATCAACGAACCTACCATTCTTGTATGCTAATTTTTAATCCTCACAAAGTTTAGCTTAGTCACGTTTAGACTATTGGAATTCTACATCTTATCTATAACCAAACTAGTATCAAATTTAACACTGCCAATATATAGCCGTTCTCTTAAGTTATGATTTGTTTTTCTATGTTGCTCATTGATATAGGTAGTTGTAGATTTGATCATTAAAATCGAAAATCTTGTATTTCAGTGTTTTTTTGAATTCATTTTATCAATATTTTGGGATATTTTTTTTCTTGATACTATTGAATGCATGACTTCTCGATATTGTATTCCATTTACATGATGATGAGCTTTTTGGATATTGCTTGGAATGGGTATGTGGACTGCAGTCATCTTTTGTAGCAGTATATTTCTTATCATTGCTGTCGAGGCTTAGTGCTACAACTTACGTACAAAGGACCTCATAACTTTAACTAGGGAAATAAATTTCATGTTATAAGTAACATAATGAATTTGTGATGGCAATTTGGAGAAAATATCTTATGGTGGTTTCTTTCAACAAGTAGTGTTCAATATTGCACACCTAAGGCCATTTGGTTAAATATGCTGACTAGTATAGTGTGATCACCACAAATAGACTGACTAAGAAACTTGACGAATGAAGTCTTCCAGTAATTAAAGCTTTTATTGATTTTTAGCAGGTGCTTAAATCATGATGACTCTTTAGGGTTTTCAACTTCTACGAAAACCTCAACAAAGTTTTTCAACTTCTACGAAAACCTCAACAAAGTTTTCCACAAACGAAACATAGAATTATCTTCGATTCTGAAATAATGAAACAATTAAGTAACAGGTTATTTCAGTTCACAGTTTGCATTAATCACATCTACAAACAAGACATGAGTTTCAGTATGTTTATATGAACTTATTTTTTTTTGTATTCAATAAATATTGAGGTTCATTATTTTGCGCATACATTAAAGAAAAGCAAGTCCATGTAGGGAGAATTTCATAGATTTAAATCGAATAAAGGTTTGATTGAATATATAGTGGTGTTCATACATCATTTAGTGAAAAAAATTGATGTATAAACTACTCGTGCTTATCAATGAAAGACTTGATACTCGAAAAATTACTTGCTATATCTTTAACTTACATCTAAATTGAGTTCCATACACACCTTTCATACGCAATTAAGGAGCTATAGGTGAGTTATTACGTGATTCAATAATTGAAGAAGTTTTCAGCCTTCTCTATTTCTGTATATGATAATATTGAACCTTCTTAATATTAGCTGGTTTCTGTTGCACTCCGGCTTTGGAAGGGTAAAGTGAAGAAAAATTAATCCAAAGGGTCATATTCCAATTATTAAAGGGAGAGGCTAGTTATCATTCACTTAGGCTAATTAGCCCTCGCTCTGTTACAAGCTCTTCTCTCATTGGTAGAGACAAGGTTATAGGTTCCTCAGATGAGTGGCCATCAGGTGTTTGACCAATCAGAAAATCGTGTATACTAAGGTTAGGGCTAAATAGCACTAAATGAGAGATAACTAGCACTCCCCTTATTAAAATAATTCTTTCCAGCACACATCTGAAATAAATCACGCTGATTGGGCACTCACTATGAATTACATCACTCGAAGCCAATCACATTCGTGATACTATCGTACAAGACTATTATCTAGTGCTCTTTGTGGCCCTTGGAGTTAGAACAAAGTCTTTGAGGTAACAAAGCAGATAAAAGTTCATGTCTCATTCCGCTACACGTCCATCCACAATTTTCCAGTTAAGCTTTCTTCATGAACCTTCACACAATGCCATTTAAACAAATTGTCTTAATTTAAACAAACCACCATCGAAGGTATTAAGCCGACCCAATCCAGACTTACGTGAACTTCAACTTGCATAACATCTAGTTGTAAAAAACGATCTAGTCCAAACGACGTATATTTCGGTGAACTGATCTGTCCTTTGACACCTAAACTTCCCCTACGTCCTCTTCTCTGGGAGTTTCCCGCACCTCCTGTAACAGATGTCTCTGCGGCTGTGTTATCCACTCCTGCTCTGCATTTACTCCGGGCGTTGGAATTATTGCACACCAAGGGTCATGGATGACATGCGGCATAAATTCCCATGTATGGATGACATGCGGCAGAAATCCCCTTAAATGAAACTCATGGGCTCCGCGAAAAGGAGGATCGGCTAAAAAATATATCATGTCTAATTCAGCACTGTATTTCGCCACCTCGAGCTCTTCACCTTCTTCCTCGAATACGAAGAACACATCACTACCTCCTGTAGCATAAAATTTGAAAGGTCTGCCATCCTCCATAACCCACAGATCTTTCGTTCTCCGGATCAGAGATCTATCCATTTTCCGGACCATCCGATGACGGAGGAAGTTCCCATCATAGCTCCTACGATCAAACTCAACATCAGTCCAATCCATGGCGAGTAAGCACACACATCCTTCATACGCAGCAACCTGCAGGGCACCTGGCATGTCCTCCATGATTTCCTCAAACAAAATATTCCATGTTTCTTCTGTCAGATTAAATATCAATAGGGCCTTAATCATAAACCTGGGATCCCATACGATCCAATACAAAGATCCATTACAAACTAAACATCTCCCACTATGACATTCAACTTCCATCCAGTTTAGCAGTACAGGAAACTTATTAATAAGCCAGGACCATGTACTGGTAGTCGAATCGTATATCAAAGATGTGCGTCTATCTGGGATAGGAACTCCTCCCAAAACCACCTTGAAGTGTTTTGTAAATTGGTCCACGACTAAACCCACCACGATGCACTCAAGCATACCATTGAAGACTGTAGATACTCCATCTATTTCATGAGGTACCTTTAAACTCAGGTATTTGTCCACAACTGGGTTATATATTACAAACTCGGTTGACAATAGTTGATTGAAACACATTAGGCCTCCATCAGCAGCAACCACCTCCTTGGGCTCGAATGAAATATACCTTCCGATCCATCGATCACCTAAGCAGAAGTAGGCCGTACTGTCAATACACGCATCATACAAAATAGCAGATTGATTCCAGATTTTGTTCCGTAAATCTGGACCATCTATGATTTGCTTCCATTTCTTACAAACTGCACGACATTCCGCAAGAGTGGAAATTGGCAGATCCTGATCTCTGAGAACCTTAATCAGTAATTCAACAGGTAAGGAGTCCCATGAATCTCGAGGTCGATGATCTTCTCTTTCGAGCTCCATAGCAACCAATGAGCCTTAATGGATGACATATATGAATGTCATCTCTGAATCAAATCTGGAACATCTCAGAAGCGAAAATAGTGAAAACAAATCTTGCGTTCGTTGCCACTGATAGGCTCACATGAGAAAGATGTTGTACTTCTTCATATGTGCGATGTGTGGACGAGACAAGATTGGTATCACTAGCGAAGAGTCGATGGTCAGACTTCGGGAGACAAGTACCTGTTATGTTCGGAAATCTGTACGTTTAACTGTCATTTTCATAATTTGAAGTATAAACATACTCGTTTGGAACACCAAGGACTGACTCCCGCATTTTTTTCAAATGCCTACTCTGCTGAACTATGCTTTTCTTTTTTATCATAATTTGAATTCAAACCTCATGCAAAGAAAAGCTCACAAATGAAATCATATAAATTTATTTCCAGAGTAGACTTATTCGAGCTTTAGAAAATGACTAATTACTCTGTGAACTCCAATTAGGCATCAATATAGTCCAACTAATGTTCGTGGGAAAATTAGAGAGCATTTTCATGTTAGGAAAGTAATCAAAGCGCTAATTACCAGAATGAAACTTGTTGAGTTACTTGTGGAAATGTGTGTTTTGTTTGATCTCTTTTCTCCTGTAGTATGGGGCTAAAGCATTCTGGATTGATGTCTTATGATAGCACAGCGAGTACGATATATTCTTTGATTATCACGGTTCCCAACTCAGAACTTCAACCGCCAAAGTGATTTAGTGTTCCAAAAGAATGATGAAGATTACAGATTTTCCGAGTGGAAATGTCTGTAATGTCAGAGTATACATATCAATTTTAATATGAATTAGAAATCTTCTGTTCTGTTGCATTTCTACGAGTTTAACTCTAGTTTACAGTCAAAATGTACACAATGTCATTGGGCTCATTTTGCTTTAGTGAATTTGATTCCAGCCTATTTTACACTAAAATAGGCTGGGGTCAAATTCACTGCTTAATACAACTCTTAAAGATATTGGTACGATAATTTGAACCATAATCGCAATTTCAAACCCTCATCACCCAGAAACTAATCTTTCATAACTCCTTCATGTCAACTCTTGCCCCTAAGTTTCATGGCAGTTTAAATTCAAAAGGTTCATAAGGATATTGCAATCACAGCCATCAAATAAGGAGACAAACTATGAACAGTATCTAAGTTCGGGCTTCAAAAACATTTGATTTCTCCACTAAGTACTTTTTGGCTTGACATCATTATTCATTAACTCAAATTTTAACCTTATGATTTATTTCTACTAATTTTCATACGATCTTGACAAAATTTGTAGTGCTAACATTAAAATATAATCTTTTTGCAACAATCATCTATAGAAGTAGAATTGCTGTTAAATAAGTTGACTCAAAAGTCATGCAACTCTCACTACAAGGTAGACTATTGTATTTTCAAACATAAACTAGAGAAATAATCCATAATCTTCTTCTACTGCTATGATGGTAATCATCTAGGTTTAGTAAGATCTAACCAATATTTCGAAAATGATCAACTTATCAATCATTTCATCCAGTTATTAACATCTTCAACAAAACATCTTGCATGTACTACTAATAACTCAAGTTCTGGATTAAACTCTAGAAAGTCTAACTTGATTTGAAGCTAATTTTAGACTTAACCGTAATTAGGGGATAAAATTAGGGTATATGCAATAATGTACATATAGGAGGCCCATCCACAATGTGCATTCAATACTTCGTAGATAGTAAAGCAAAATGTAGCAAACTACCTTTTTGTTTTTGTTGGTGTGGTGAATTCATCTATTTGAAAAATTTATGGATTGTGTTAAATAATTTCGGTTCCCTCTTTTAGAATTAGTATCAGAGCAATTATAAACATACACGAGAAGTCTTTGTGGTACACTGACACGGTTACATCTGTGCTTGTATCGCAACACACTGACAACGATGTGGTGTGGAAAAAGATTACGGTAATCTCAGTCTAAATTTTCTATTTTTTAATAAAAAATTAGAAAATTTAATAATTATTGATAGGGTTATGATTCATCAACCTGCTAATTCTTATTACGATGGACAAGTTGGAGAATGTATTATGGAAGCAGAATAAGTTTTGAAACTTCGTGATTGTATTACTTAAGTTTATGTACAAAGAACTGGTAAACCTTTATGGGTAATTTTTGAAGATATGGAAAGAGTTGTTTTTATGTCAGCAAAAGAAGCAAAACTTTATGGTATTGAGACCTTGAATACGTAATGGATCTTGAAGTACTACTTCAGCATCACCTTGACCAAACCCACCTACATTTGGATTATTAGTTAAAGGTTGATATACTTTTACAGGCTCACCTTCTGAAATAATAAGTTCTGGTACTGCAGGCAAAATACCAACAACTTCATAATCATCTGAAATATCATCAATTGTGATTTCATACCCACCTTTTTCTTAACTAAAAATTTTACTTACTTTCCTGTAATTGAAGCATTATAAACTGTATTTTTACTTTTACTTCCATTAGGATAAATCTGTCCTCTCCCTCTATTACCACTAACATAACTTGGATATTTAAAAAATTGAGCTTCTTTGTTAGTAGCTGGATCTGGAGAAAGAATTGGAAAAATCATTTCACTATATTTTTTTCCTGGAACTGGACCTATTACTAAATTTTTTTTTTTCATTACTATAAGGTTGAAAAAAAAATTACCAATTTTTTCTTTCATTTCAGGAGGAATTCGATCATGAATAAATGGTTTATTGATATAATTATTAATTATTGTATTTATCCGAATTAAAAAAAGGACAAAACATTTTGTTAGGATAGTTTTCTTTGAGTCTATGCACCTCTTTTGTTTTAGTAAACAAAATTTGACTCAGGATTACCTAATTATAATTTTTTTTCCTGCAACCTAGGTTTCCCTGAATTTGAAAACAATCATTTAGTAATTTTTTCAACTAAAGCTCAATTAAATTATGTCCGCAGCGTCCAGTAAGCCATAAACTTTGTGTTTGTGGATGAAATCTACCAATAAAAGTTATGATAGCTTTTCCAGCCCCTTGAGATGTTCCAAGAGCATGATTACTTGAATCGACATTTTGAGCATAAACATTCCATTGTACTGCAAAAAATTGGACCTACTCCTTCTCGATGTGGTAATTTTGTTAAAAAATTATCCCATCTACGTGTTCGCCTCGTGATTCTGGAATTGCCACATGAACTAAATGACCTGTCCAAGCTAATGAGCTTACACCAAAAAGTCCTGATAAAGGAGAGAGATTTGCTTGATGATACCCCATCCAAAGGTAAATTGCTCGATGGGATCCATCAAGTTTCAATTTATCCGATGGGACCACACGGACAGTGTGCCGTCGCTGAGTTCTAGTATGTGATCTAGTATGGGTATGTTCTTGTAAGAATATATAGCACCGCTTTAGAAAGCTGATCGATCATTCTAATATATTCCCGCGGCATCCACGCTCTTAGATCTCAAGTCGAATAGAATTGAGTGCCCGAAGCTAAACTTTTCAGAAGGCAGAGCTCGATCTAGCAAGCATACAAACTGAACCTTCTTTCTCCTGACGCCAGCAGCGGATTGAGCTATTTTTTCATCTTTCCCATTTTACTGTCCTATTCTTCATAAGAAAGCAGTTCAACAGGGCCAGACTCTACGCAGCAATGTGAAGGGGGAAACGAAGGTAACACGAAGTGTGATTCATGCACCCTCTTCTGTTCATACTAGAACAGTGTGACGTGGACCGTCGGTGGGGTCCCATCGGGTAAATTGAAACTTGATGGATCCCATCAAGCGATTTACCTTTGGATGGGGTCCCATCAAGCAAATATCTCTGATAAATGATCATATAAGCGGGATTTATGTGGTACCCCACTTTTGGCAATTTTGAGGAAATTAAAACATTTTTTGGAAAACTGTACCCTGGCAGCATTGTAAATAGCCTTCGGTACATCAAAACAGAGTGAATCCGGAAGATCGCGGGGATTCTCGAGGGATCTTGTAGAATCTGGGATTTGGGGTGCCGCAGTAAGGACAGGCACCACCCTCCCTGCGAGCTCTGCAGTTAGGATCTCTACGGCGCAAGGCGCAAAACCCGCCTTCGGAGGTTGCGTCCGCGGCGGTAGGGAAACCCCCGTAATTAGGTCAACCCTCGGGCGCCTTGACCAAGTTAGGGTCCCGTTGGAAAGAGCTCGACGCGCTGATTCCAACGAGCCCAAGAACGCTTAGAACGGACGAGGACTTAGGGAGTTATCGCTATTGAAAGAAACGGAGGCAGTCGCCTACGGCGGAAGGAGTTCGCCACCGGCGCGAATTCCGCCTACGCGAAAGGGGGAATCAAGTTTTGTCCTATGCGCGGACGAAGGCGTTCGCCTGTGCACAGGCGAAGTAGGGTTAGGGAAGGCGCGAAGTCCGCCTGCGCACAGGCGAACGCCTGTGCACAGGCACTTCGGCGTCGGCGGGAAATCCGCCTTGGGCCCTAGAAATGCGCCTTGTGAGGTAGAAAGTGTACGGCGCCTTCCGCGCCAGCGCAGCGCCGCGTACGTCGGAAGAGCCGCCAGAGTAATCCAATCGGTACGGACCATGCGGACGGCACGGGTGGATGCGCTCTTGGACGGACGGAGTTGCGGCGGCGGAAGCGCCGACGGAGAGACAAGGAACGGACAGACTGGACGGAGACGGCTGACCACGGTCAACGCCTTCCGCGCCAGCGCAGCGCCGCGGACGGAATTCGCCTGCGCACAGGCGAACGCCTGTGCACAGGAGGATGTTCAAGTTCCGCGCCGGCGGAAAATCCGCCGAGGCTCCTGCCCGCGCACAGGCAGGAGTTGAATTTTTGTCCGACATGCGGACACACGCGTCAAGGCAGCGGGAGATTGGCCGACGGGCGGTACGAACAAGTGTACCGCGCAAGGCGGAAAACTCGCCTTCGGCGCTACGCCCCCATGTCCGCAGGGCGACACGCTCGCGGAGTTCAAATCCGCCAATTCGAGCGTGAGAGTTTAATCGACGACGGCGGAGCGTGAAGCCGCGCGTGAGAGCGAAGACCGTTCCAGCGTACAGCCGGCGCGGCCATCAAGTGAGACGTTCTTCACGACCAAGAGCCGACCATGACCTTCGACCGGGCGGCGGAGAACGTCCCA